GCGACGTTTTGTGAAACATCAGAGAGTCGCGACGCACGTGGGATCGAGAGAAACCTTTTTAATTTGTTTTACCTTAATCGGGCTCCACACTTAACAATATATTGACGACGACGTGAATCATGTCATGCAGTATACACAATGACATAGTGCACGCGGTCGACCGCAATTTGATTTCCTAATGAACTGAATGTAATATCTTTTTCAACGACTTTTATGAGCTCTATAATAAGGTCAATAATATTTAACAAATCTAAAATAAACAACTGAGTTACATAAGAAATATAACCATTCATTACTTTGTATTTTGTACTTTTTATTTATTTTTATTAAAAAAGGAAAATACACGACTAATATTCAACTCTATATAATACACAAGAAGCATACAATCATATTCACTATTATTTACGTGGAAGAGTGTTGGGTTTGTGGAGCCGAAGCAGAGCAGTTGTCTTGCGCATTTACGTCGGCTCGTGGGCCTCCATGCACCCACTTGAGTGCTGGCTGACACTTCTATGGGCGCATATGTGCCACTTCGACTTGTGCGCGCTGCATGGTTTCCGAGAGAACGGCGCTTATGTGTCAGCCTATTGGAGCATATGAACCTAACTTAGGCACATGATAGAGGCCTTGGCGCTTAGGCTCCAAGTGGTGGCGCCTATATGCCTGAAACAATTTACACGAGATTTCAATTTTAAGTTTCCAATTTAAGCTGTGTGAGTGCTGTAATGTGAATTCCTTCTTGAGTTCTTCAATTGTGTTCCTGCCGGTGAAGTCGAGAAGAGTAAAAAATGTGGATTTCGGTAATTCGACGTGATTCTTCCATTGGATTATAAGAAGAAAGATTGTGGAGTGTGTTCTGTAAGTTTCCTTGTGTAGAGAGGAAATTGCTGCAATTTTTCTGTAAAACTCTTTGATTTCATAGTGGATTTTTTCTAGCGGTATGGTTCTCTGGTTTTTCCCGTTTTCGAGTTTTTTCACATAAATTTTTGTGTGCTTTTTTTAATTGTTTTGATTGTGTTTTTAGTTAATTTTTGATCCAATTCATCCCGAATTTATAAAATATTGTTATTCTATGATATGATTTAGTTTCTAATTAACTCTAGGCCTCTATAAAATTAGAATTTTTCTCCTCATTCCTATAAAGAAAATATGCTCCCCTCATGAAATGTTATTAGGTGGACTCCCCACCAAATAATTGTTTCTCCGTTATAGTATGCTCCTTATGTTAAAAATATATTTGTGTCCGCTCAGGAGAGACATGCTTTGATATATGAGTAATCACATAAAGCCTATTCCTTAGTCACGTGCTGGATGACTCGTCTAAAATTTTGAATATGTGCTTGGCCATGGCGGGGCCAACCGAAATCGGGACCTGTTTTTGGACTTTTCCCGAGCTAAGCCCACCAGAGAAGCTAGCCTAGCGTTAGGGTTGCTTTATTAAGTTGCTCGTGTTTATTTATTTATTAGCCAAGCAAATCCGTTTTTGCTCATTTTGACACAAATTAGCTAAATTATAAATATATGTATTTTTGATGAGTTTAATTTTTAAATAATTTAATTGACAACACTATATAGACTTATAATCAATTAAAAATTAGAATTAAAATATATATAAATAATAAAATTTAAATCTAGCCCATATTCTTAACATTATACAGTTGCATGATTAGAGATGTTAAAATAGCTCGTTCATGTAGTATTTGTATCACTAAATAAATAGGCTGAACAAGAAAAAAAAATTTGCACTCAATGTATTAACAAGACAAATACGAATAGCAGTATTTTTTAACTAGGCGACACGAGCCGAGCCCTTTCTCGCTCAAGCTCGACCCATTTTATAGCCCTACCTAGCATACAATTGGAATAAATATGATCTGACCTAAACAAGCAAACCCTAAAGGGTAGGAAAGCCAAGTCCAAGAGGCCAAGTACGAATGACAAAGTATTTACCTTTCGACAGAAACATACAAACATGAGTAGCCAAATATTGGAGAAACCGTAGCGAATACCATCTCGTTAAAGCCATTCGACAAACTCATCACTTAGATGGGTAGTATATCTCATAGATCCAAATGATTGAAGAGAATGAAACTTCTCGCACTTCAGGAATTTAGCAAATTTGCGCCAACCAAATCGAACACAAATCAAATGTAAATCTGACGATATTTGAGGATATCATCGAATTTTCATTAGATTTACGTTCAATTTTTTAAACGAGCAATTCGGGAGTCGGTAATATTAATTCTGTCAATTTAGCGTCGGAATATTCCGACGCAAATAATTAGCATTTTTTTCGTCATCGTTGCGTCAGACTATATGTGCATTGAATTTTGTGACTGAAAACATCAGACAATAAAAAATATCATTAAGAGTTTGTTTGGGGCAGCTGCAGCTTATTGAATAATCTGCTGATAAGCTGATGAAAAATAACCTGCTAATAAGCTAGGTGTAGTGACTATTAAAATTTTTTATTTTTTTGGAAAAACCATACCGCAACCAGAAAGCTGTCATCACACCTAGTTATGTGCAGTGTGAAAATGCTCTTTTCAGCGTTTTGAAAATGCATAAGGTGTCATAATGTGATTTACCCAAACAGGTCAAGTGCGTTTTCAAAACTTCAACGCACCAAATCAGCTGGCCCAAACGGACCATAAATCACGTTGAATTTACAACTGATAATATCGATGAATGACGAGCCAAATTTTTTGATGTAAGAAGGATGCAAATTCAACACAAAATTTGAAAAAAATAAAATTCAATATATCAATTACATTTCTACAATCTACACACAACAGTTAATCTACATCATATTATATACATCCATATCACAGATTAAAGCTCTAAAAAATCTCATTAATGAATATACTGTTATGAATCTAAATTATCATAAGTTTACATCTACAACCTTAATATGAGTTCAAACATCTCAGAAATTCAAAATACAGAAAAACTCATCGTCATCCCCCACCTCCTCATCCTCCTCTTTCTCCTTGACTACAACATTCATTGTGCGCTTGCCTCGACGATCATCCATAATTTCTGTCAAACGTGTTATACTTCACTCAATTCCCTGTAGCATTCACGCATATGACAAACATCCTCATTCATAGCAGCAACCTATTGGCAAGCTCTGCAGTATTCAGGTGTGACGAGCTCATGCCACCCACAGAAGCATGAAAGATCTCGACCTTCATCTTCCCCGCCTTCTGCGTCCATAACTCGAACTTAGATTGTGCAATGGTAACCTTGCTACAGCTACTGCTGGCAGTGCTCGGGGTCTGGGAGGCCAACTGCCTATTTCAGAGCTGCTCGTACTTCTCCTACATAATAAAATTCAATTATTAAGTGACATTTTAAACATTAAGAGTCAAAATAAATGTGAAAAAAATCAATTTTATACTTAGAATCATCAGCTGGGCGGGTAATCGAATCTGTGCGTGAGAAAGCTCAGGTGTCGTAGCAGCAGCATGAGTGGAAGTAGACATGCTCTCCTTTTTTCTCTTCTAAGTATTCGATATAGTGGGAAGATCATGCGGTCGCTGAGGTGGCTGATTACCAGCACCACCTGTGGTCTTCTGTAGCAGGACTAATAACAAAAATAATCATACACAATATGTACAAGTAAGAGGAGGATTGTACAAAATCTAAACATGAAACATATCGTAAACTATAGCTAAAACAAAAATAAAAAACATGACAAGTATGATTTGGGCAACAAAAGCAAACAAAAGGTTCAATTTTTTACATTTGCTATGTGTCACCAACCCATGAGTATATTAAAAAAAGTTCAATATTTTTGTGTACTGCCAAATGAGTATATTACAATGTTCACTTGGGGACTCAATGTCATGAGTGTTGATCCTTCAATAGCTAAGTGTCACTAGATCTCCACTTCATATTTGTTATTGCTTAAAATTTCATCAAGATTATGATTGATCTATTGCAAGAAGCATTAAAATATGATATTCTGAACGAATTTTCTCTACCATGGTGATGAAAAAAGATTCATTATATATTACCATCAATTTGAACAAGACCTGATGCATATGTTGCTTCACTTCAACCAAACAACTTGAATTCCACTAATAAATGAACACATACCTAACCCATAAACTTCAAATTATACATAAACATACCACATTAACTATGTATTTAATTCATACATATCACTCAATTCTTATGTATACGCAAACCTAACACCTAAACTTTGATATTTACATGAATATCATTGAACTCTTATGTATGTACATAACAAGCTAATACCATAACATCAATTTTTAGATACATACCACATTACATATGTATATAACTTATATATATATAACTCAAATCTTGTGTATGTACAGATCTAACACTTAAAATGCAATATTTACATGCATACCAAGTGAGAGATTTATTGAGATTGATGGAGACTATTCAAATTGGCAGCTAATAAACTCCCTCTTCTTACGCGGTCCCGCCATCTCCCCCCTCTTCCTCATGCGGTCCCGCTACTTCTCACGTGGAAACGCGTCCAGCTAAATTGATGTCTTCCTGCGCTTCCATTAAAAGGATTTGTTTGCTTATTATAAAAGGCCAAAAACCCACCTTCTCTCAAGTAATCCCACCCTAACCTCTTTGGCTTAAGTGTACAAAGAAAAAAGCTGCACCTCTTTTTCTTTTCATTGGTTTTTTTTCTTGAACTACGAAACAGGGAAAAAGAACTTTGTTTTCTCCTGTTAATTCTTCTGCTCACGTGGACTTGGCAAAGGGAGAGAGAGGGTGAGGAGAGAGAATGATTTGCTATCGAAATTTTTAGAATAATAAAATCTTTTGTAACTCCGTGAATATATGTAATTTGCCGAATCACGTAAATTTGTATACATACTTATTTTCTGTGTGTGAATTTTCTTGTTCTAATTTTTCGCTTTATTGTCATCGTTTTTCACAATAAAAAGTAATATAATGTTACACTGAGAGAATAAACGACAAACTCAAGCAATTAGAGCTCCCAAATAAAGCAAAACGTAATCTTTACCCGTTACCCATTTATATTTTATGAGAAAATTTTTTTATATAAAAGCATATGAGCTAAAATAAGAGAGGCCTATTTTTACATTGATCCACCCAAATATATGGGCATTACATGAAAATATTTGTATGTACTTGTTGCATGTAATAGCTCCTCCACATGAAAAAATATTCCCTCAAGGTGGTCGTACGTTCAGACGATCAATTATAGTAGGTCACATGGCCCGCAGCTGATGTGTATAACGACGTGACCGCCCACAAACACTCTTCACATGAAACATTTTCTCCTTGCAAACACTCATCATCAAAATATTTACATGCTTAAGCCGCATCAAAAAGAAAAAAAAAAAAACACAAAAATTAAAGAAAATCCATATGAAACGGATCCCAGCCAAAACCTCCCCCACCGACCCCCAAATCCGACCCTAAACCATCTTTCCCACGGCTGCGGGGGTGGCGGCTCTCCATCAATCCGAAGCCTCTCCTTCTTCTCCCAGCCGAATCCCTCTCCCTCTCCAATCCCCGCCCTCCCCTTCAATCTCCCCAACATCTGCGGGTCCTCAAAAACCCTAACCAAAAATTGAAGCATCTTGCGCGGCCGCCTCTCCGTCTCCATAACCCGCCTCGATAACCTCTCCAGTTTATCCTCAATCGCCCTCTGCTCCTCCTTCAACCTCCTCAACTCCATCACCAACGCCCTATCATCTTCGTCAATCTCCACATCCCTTTCCTTCCTCTTCCTCGCGATGCGGCTCAATAGCTGCGACTGCCCGCGAAGAAACGATGGGTGCGCAAACTCCCAATGATCCGGATTCACCTTCCTGAATCCCTGCAAAACCCCTTAAATCCCCATCAAAACGCAAGTAGTCAGTAAACAAATTCGTTAAATCGAATTGAACATGATCGTACATAAGTGTTGAGCTGGCGGACGAAGCTGGAGAAATTGCTGTGTTTGAAATGGAGGGGAAGGAGGTTTTGACAGAAGCCGAAGGGATCGAGCACCACGAAGCTGTTGCTGTTTCGTCCCCATGAGATGATTGAATCATTCGCCGGATCGGATACCATCTGATAAATTTTCGCAACGAAAGGTGGCGCGGCGAACTCTCCGCCGCAGCAGTCGCCGGCGATGTCCATTGCTGATTTAGGAAGTGTGTCTGTGGGTGTGATCAGTAAAGAGATAAATACAGGGTGGGGGAGACAGATTGGATGGAATGATTGGGGACGCGTGTTCCATTTCTCCGGTATTCATTTGGCTAAATCAATTGTCGCGGATACGGCTTGATTTAACGGTATGGCAAGTGCCACGTTGCGAGCTGACAGCTTTGGGCGAAAATAAATTATTAAGAAGCTCGTGGATGAAGAAATTCCATGGAATTTTATTCACTTCTTTATTTTTTTTTTTTTGAGTTTGACTCCTTTTAAAATATTTGAAATTAGAAAATCCGCAGTATTAAAAGAATGAATTATCCTCTTAACATTTAGAATTCATCACACATTCACATAAAGAAAATGATCAATAATGACCTTTGAAGTTTTTACGTAAAAAACTCATAAAAGAAAAAAATCCCGGGGTATGATTCTGTTATAAAAATCTGTTATAAGTTAGACGGTGATTGACATTGGTTGACGGTACTCGACGTTGGTCGATGGTGGTCGGTGGTTGATGACAGTCGATAATGGTAGGCGGAGATCGACGGTAGGCGGAGAGTTGGTGGGGATCAATGACAGTCAGCAAAGGTTAATGACGGTTGGCGGCGATCGAAGGTGGCAGGAGTGGTGTTGGACTTCAGCTCTTTCTCAAAGCTTCAGGTTCTTTCTCAAGTCTCGAGCTCTCCTCCCCCTCATGAGAGTGGTAAGGCTCTTTTATAGTGTTATGGATGCAATTAATGCAGGAATATGAACCACTTTGATTGGACGGTCTGGAAAGCTTCCTTCAATCAGACGGTTTGTGAGTGTCTTAATGATGTTGGAGTTGAGCAATCTTGAACTCGTTGGATTCTTCTTGTCAAGACGCTCGATTCAACTATATGTTTGCTAAATTCAGCATTCGTTTGACCATCTAAATATGTTCAGAAAACTTTCTAGAGTAGTTTAATGATTTGATCTAAGTTTGATTTGACTCGGATTGGACTAAATTTGATATCATTGGGTCCGTCTCATCCAGATGGTCAGTTTAACTATAAGTTTGTTGAAATCGTATCTCTAGATGACTCTTAATTGAAGCTTGAATGTTTCTCGCTCAAAAGATTGTCTTGAGATTTGTAGATGAAAATTTGTTGGTGGTGTATCAAGTACCATTGTAAGTGGGAAGTTTACACAAATTTTTTTTTTTTTTTGAACCCGAAGAGAATTTTATTGCATCCAAAAAATGATTACATAAAGTTTGTTGAAGGATCCAATTAAATCCAAAAATAACAAAAATGGTTCTAAGGAATGATATGGAGCACAAATCTCCATGTAGATGAACCGCAACCTCCTTAGGATGGGAAACTTCAATTTGAATCGAGCTTGTGGCAACACATGACTTAGATCATCTTGGATCTAAGGAGAGTTTGGCTATATTTAGTTTCTTTGCATCATTGCATGTAATAATACTTTTAAGACTTTCATTGCATCATTGAATGTAAGGAGAGAGCGAGAGATAATTCAGACACATGTATCTTAAACTTGGGTGGTGTACAAGCTTTAGCAATATGAAAGAGAGAACATTTTTGGTTGAGCCACACTCTTAATAAATCAATTGGTGTGAATCATTGAGAGCCACCAGCACCTGTAAGAGGAATGAACAAAAAAAAAAATCAGAAAAAGGGATTTCTATTCCAAATGGAAGTTGCAGATAAGAAATAACTGCTCAGCCATTTCCTTAGCAAGTATAATTAAAAAGGCTGAAACAAATAAAAAATAATGAGGGACTACAGATCTCATTAGCTAGCACGTGACTTATTAAAACAAAATAGATAAAAAAACTATTATAATATAATAGCAAACTAATACTAGGAATACAAGCTGTCACGAATATAGATGGAGAGACCCAAATACTCTCAAGCTTTATCAGTTCCCTTCCACTTCAGAAGTTCAGAGAGAACCTGTCCTTCATCCGACGCATGATGTGCATGCAAATTAGAAACATTAAATGCTAGGTATGACTCATATATCATATAAGTGACAGATGCTGGAACGAAGCGGGGTGGAGTGGAAGAATCTGTCTAATCGGGGGAGTTTCGTTATGTGGGTTGGGGGAGCGGGGGCAACGCCCCGCGGTACAGTATAGGGTAATTTGGGAATTACATATTATACTTCAGGATTTTCTCTAGGGTTATATATATACTTGTTTGTAACCCTAGGTTATTCTATATTGTATCTTGTAACATTTTTTCTGGAGTTGAAAGAAAGTCGTCGCTCTGGTCCTGAGGATGTAGGCATTTTTGCCGAACCTCGTTAAATCTCTATGTGTTCTTCTGGATTTGTGTCGATTCTTATTTTTCTTCGCCCTAGTTTATCAACATTAAAGGTGGTGGAAATGTTCAAATATGGCGGGAACACCAACACATATGCATTCTCATTAATGTGTTTGAGGATTGGAAAAGGACCAATTTTACGAGGCTTGACTATAGAGTACGTATCTAGTGGAAATCTTTCTTTGCAGAATCGAACCATCATAAGGTCACCCACTTCAAAGATTTTTTGTCTTCTGGACTTATCTCGCTTTTGTAGTGATGTTAGTTGCTAGAAAGTTTGTTCTTGACCTCGCGCAGCATGGTAACAAATTCATTTACCCACTCGGTTGCATTAGTACTTAGAGGTTTGGGAATAACAGCGAGATCAACCTTGTGGTTGGGGCTTTGGTGTAGACAATGCTGAAAGGAGTTCGGCCCATAAAACGCTTAACCATCAAATTGAATGTAAACTCAGCTTGAACCAATTGATCATCCCACTGTTTCAGCTGATTCCCATTTCCCAGTGTTCGATTAATGTATTCAGTTTGCCCATTAGTTTGAGGAAGGTAGGCTGAACTCAAATTAAGGTTATTATTTAAATGTTTTCATATTTCCTTCCAAAAACAGCTCACAAGTTTCACGTCTCTGTCTGATGTTATGCTCTGTCGAAAACCATGAAGCCGCACAATCTCTTAAGAGAAATACTTCGCAATATTGATAGCATCATATGTCTTTTTACATTTCACGAAGTGTGTTTTTTGAAAAACGATCTACAACCACCATTACCAAATAGGAACCATGCTTGGTACGAGAAAGGCCCAATGCAAAATCTATACTAACAACTTCTCATAGGAATAGGAAGTGGAAGGTAGAGACCGACATTCTGTCCGGAGCCCTTAAATTTATGGCATATGGTGCACTTCTCTATAAAACAACAAACATCCCTCTACAATTTTGACCAATAAAATCATGCTTATAACATTTGCAATGTTTTGTCCGTTCTTCTATGAGCCGTTAAACCACCCTCATGACATTCCTAAGTGAGATATTGACGAATAGAAGCATTTGGAATGCATAGTTGGTTACCTCTAAAAAGATAGCTCTGTTGAATAGCTAATCCGATTGGGATCGAATGTTGGCTACAGTTGGTCCAAATGAGAGCAAAATCTTCATCTTCCTGATACAAATCTCAAATCCACTCCATTCTAGTAATGCTTGTTTGCATCCATGATTTTGTACTCCAGCCTAATGTTTCAAAACAAAAGAGAATTTTTGTACGAAAATTACCCACCATGCATGCATCTTACTAATTGTCTTTTAACTTTGCAAAAATTTGAGGAGCTGGTGATCACTATAAAGTACAAACTCTTGATGCAGTAAATAATGTTCCCTATATTTCAATGCTCGAATGACGACATTCAATTCTTTTTCATAAGTGGACCATTTTTGACGCACGTGACTTAACTTTTCATTAAAAAACTCCAACGGTTTTCTCTCGTGTGAGAATAGCCCCACCCCAATTGTCGAAGAATCGGTTTCCACTTGGAAAGGTAAGTCGAAATTCAGAAGACTCAAAACCCCTGCTACTCCTATCCCCATTTTAAAGATTTTTGCTTGAAACGATCTGTTAGTTGTGCTGCGAGAAAGCCGAAATTTCCGATGAAACACATAAAAATTTGCAAGCCCATGGAAACTGCAAACCTCCGTGATAAATTTCGAAATTGGCCAAGTTTGTATAGCTTATATTTTTTGTGAACCCACCCGTACGTCATCTTGGCCGATTATGAACACAAAGAAATGGACTTCCATCATAGCAAATTCACATTTATTCAAGTCGAGGAAGAGTTCATATTCCAACAAGGTAGAAAATACAGATTTTAAGTGTTTCAAATGCTCCTGCATAGAAATACTATACACAAGTATGTCATCAAAATGTACGGCACAATAACGTCCTAGAGATGGCTTTAGAACTTCATTCACGAGCCTCATAAAGTCACTTAGTGCGTTGCACAAATCAAAAGACATAACCTGCAATTCCTATAACCCTTCACTCATCTTGAATGTCAGCTTCCATTCATCACCCAGCCAGACACGAATATGATTGGTGTTTGCTCCTCAAATCAAGTTTTGAGAACATGCTAGCTCCCACTAACTTATCAAATAGACTTCCATATAAGACATAGGAAAACTGAATTTGATAGTTTTTTTTTTTATTGCTCTATTATCCACACATAATCCCCAAAAACCATCTTTCTTAGGAACAATTAAAGTTAGAACAATGCATGGACACATGCTATGCCGAATGAACTATTTTCGCAAAAGATCATCCACAATGGCTTGCAGTTTTTGTTGTTCTATAGAGCTCATTTTATAATATGGACGGTTAGGGATTGTCACACTAGGTACAAAATCGATGTGATGTTGAATTGCCCAAAAAGGTGGTAGTTGGTTTGGAAGCTTAGATGGCGCTAAACCTGGAAATTGTTGGAATTATTGGACTGAAGGATGCACCTCCGACAAAGCGTCATTTTGCTCTTGGACAACCAGGAAGAACATATGTTTTGGACCTCTTCATGCCCATAGCCACCGCGACCCCGACACAATAATGTAGGATGATTTTTCATCAGTTTCTTTTTCAAGGGATGAGGCATTCAAATTGGTAGGAAGTTGTCTGATCAGCTTGTTCTTCCATTCAAAGGTGTACGCATTAGCATGACCATCATACCATACCCTTAAGTTGAATTCCCAAGCCCGTCCTAAGATTAAATCACACATATGTAT